ATTGTAATTCCATTATGTTTAAGTATTTTCATGATTTTTTTATGAAATTATCTTTTCATTTAGTTGTACTAACATGATGGAGCATGGATAAATCTAATAAAACGTTGTGAAAAGATGATTTTATTTCATGAGGATCGATTTTATATCTCACCCATCATCAAAGGTATAGTTAGTACTGTCGTCTGTCTTCGTTTTCGGGAGCGTTTTACAAACACCCGGTATAATTTAATATTAAAATTGCATCAAATTATATATAATACAATACTTACGAGTATTAATACATTATAATAAAATTACTAAGTGTGAATTTCGACCATATTGTCTTTTTATTATTTATTTATTGTATGTTTCCTAAAGATCAGAGTTTAAAGAATATACGGAAGTAATTTTGTACTAACACGCTTATCTGGCTTCCCACAAGAAACAGTATCATTTGCTCAGGTCATTTCCACACCTCTGACTTTCAAGTGTTGGCGAACAATAGAAGACGATTGGTCGAGAGCACCAAGCCAACTTTAATACCACACTGTATAATTGTTCCATAAGCTTTTATTTCATCATGGAGAAGGTAAACTAGCGTACAGTCAACTTGATGGTAAGTAAACTGTGGCCCATGGACGTTTACGATCTCAAGACCAACAAACCACTACAGATTGTAAATGCGTCGCCAATCTAAGATGTAATGCCCCGTGCCACCCGTAAAATGTTGAATATATAGTATAATGTAGTATGTGGTTAGTCATGGTTGTGAGATAAAGCTCAGATTTTTCCACTTCAAAAAATATACAAATGTAAATCTAATTTTCCAGAGCCATCAATTATCATTTATTCTACCAGTTGACAGACTAAAATCTTACAATGCCATTAGTGCCACTCTCACTATTCCTGATTCGTTAACATCTAAATGTTGTACAACATCAACTTCTCTACGTTTCCTTTTAATAGTTTACTGTAGATAATATGATTGATTAAAATAAATAGGTACATATTTATTAAATAGTAATTTCTACTATTTTATTATTGACATTGAGTAATGTGCATAGAAAGATGAAAACAGCATAATAAAGCCTATTTATTTTGAGGCTTAGTCAAAGGAAACATCTGAAAATTATAATTCGATTCCCACCATTGCACTTACACCAAGAAAAGAAAAATGCAGCAATACCTATATTATCAGAAAAAAAATATTAAAAGGCTACAAGCTAAACCCCTTTTTAAAAACAAAACTTTGCTGGGTTGAAAAAATTTCTTCAGAATGTGGATGAAAAATCTTTGATAAATAACGAAAAACGGCTGGTTTATGAAAAACTTGGCGTTGAAGAAACAAAACTTATTAAGCGTCAACTTGAGAAAAAAATGTAAAAGTGGGAAGCTCTCAGAAGCTAAATATTCACCACAATTGCGATCTTTTTTTTTTTTTTTTTTTTTTTTTTTTTTTATATGAGAGGGGGCAAACGAGCATGCGGCTCACCTGATGGTAAGTGACTACCGCCGCCCATGAACAACCGCAACACCAGGAGAATTGCAGATGCGTTGCCGGCCAGTCTTTTGTTTTAACTCTCTATACTGATACAAGAATTTATTTTTAATGAAAAAAGCGAACCCTTAAAAATGTATTCTTTATATATATACAAAACTAATTCATTTTAAAAACCAGAAACATTGAGTTTATTAGTTAAATGATATGTAATTATAGTAGTAATAAATAAAGTCCTATCTTTATTATAATATCCACCTTTTCATCTATAATGCGTATCGACAGTTGTTTCATCCATGGCTGTATGCAAATTTTGAATGTATTTGCGTCACTTCATTACACAGTGATGACACATAATATATCTATGTTTGTGTGTAAGTATTATTTTAATTGTTATGTATTAGTTTCGTAGTGACAGAGGATTATTTTAGTGTGGGAGTCTGAGGAAGTGTGCGTGGCGCAGATTTCCCTACGCAAAAAATGACAGACAGTTTGGTATAATTCACGAGTCGCGAAGACTGACCGCTCCGCCAGGCACGCACACTGTCACGCTGTGCATGTGCATTTCGAACCACATCCAAAGTTCAGCCGCACTCGTGAATTGCTAGAACTATACCACAAAAGGACTGCGTAATCATTAAAAGTATTGTTATTAATGAATTCCCTGTGTGGCCTCTTACGACACCCAGGTATATTATGTTATGAGGATATGAATTCTCTTATGCCGCCACTACACGACATAATACACTTAATGACATATACTCAGAAATATTTATACTTAGAACAGACTACTTATACCTAGGCATACTGTAATCACTATCACTGACCTCATTAATAATTTGTGTCAGAATTTGTATCGCTGCCGCTTTCAGCTGAAATAATTTTATAAGAATCAAGTAATCTATACAAGTAATGAAATAATTTCAATATCAAAACTATCTTGATGTTTTTCATGTGTTTGGCTGTACCTGTACCCTGTACCTTCTTTGGTAATTCTGGATACAGTTTATTTATAAACATCTGAAAAGGGGAAAAATACTAGTGATGGAATATACGACCATTATATACCAAATATTTGTGTTTTTAACAAAGCTAATTAATACCAATATTAATTAAACACTGTGTAGTATAACGTGGTAGAGCCATGCTGCAGCTATAGTTCTCCGCTCGGCTGAGGAAGGAACACGCTCGCACAGAATACCGGTTCACATTGCAGCTTAATAATGCTGTGTTCTGTATGGTGTGTGTAGAAATTTACTGGCAACGACGCATTCTATCTTAGTCCTCAGAGGTGATAACGCGTCTACATTTTGATTTTAATCAAGGACAGATGTAGTTGTCTATGGAACGCAACATTCACTTACCAATCAGGTGAACTATGTGATTATTCGTTATTCTATAAAGAAAATCATTCATTAAGATAATTCACTAACTAACGTTATCACCTGGGTGATAACGTGAGTTAGTGACTCTCTTTGTCTCCTCTTACGACACCTGGGTGTCGTAAGAGGAGACAAAGAGAAACTAAAATAGGAGAGCAGATAAGAAGTGATCTTCTTGATAATATATCTAATAAAAAAAACTGCGGTTTCCTAAACACATGCGAGCGATATGTGGAAACTATGACAAATATCCTTCCATCATAGTGGGGAATGTGTTGGCCAATACCAATGGCCATCGTGTAGAGCGGGTGTTTGTGCTTACGTTGGTATGTATTGAAATGATGGCCCACAAGGTGGTGCGAGATCCGTGTGGTGTCGGTTTTTTACAAAAGATCAAAGGATTGTGGCAGAGTATTGGCCACCGCGTCCACACGTTGGGTGCACGTTTAGTTTGCTACGAGCTCCTAGAGTGATCGCACGCACCTGATTTAAATTTTATATTCACGCATCGTAACTAGTGTCTACAAAATGGCAGTAACAATGACCAATGAAAAAACTTTTCGCTTTATAGAGCTCTACCAAGCCGAAAATTGTTTGTGGAACAGAAGAACTAAAATTTATTTTATTCCATTTCTTTTTAATCACCCTTCTCTTATACACATTCACGTAGTAGCGGTATGCTATGATAAATAAACCGCAGCAGCCGTTAGCGCCTCAATATCCATAATAATAAATTCGTCCTGACATTGGTCTGAACCGAAGCAAACTGAACGATCTTCCAACGTGGCGGCCACACCCCAAACACATTGCCAACACATTCGCCACTAAGTTGGCCAACGTGAAGAGCCACCTTAAAGAACACGGGCCACCAGCGCATCGGAACGGAGTAGCCAAACGCGGGCATTACCCTCTGTCAAAGTATAAGTAGCGTGCTCTTGTGCGTACAATAAATGCCGGCCTTTTAGTAATTTATAGAGGAGGCCTGTGTTTAGTGGTGGACTTTGATAGGTTTTAATGATAATGATAATGATAATTAATTATTGACTAAGATAAACATAACATAACATAACATAAGCACTCACGCCTGTCACCCAGAGGGGTAGGCAGAGATTATGGACTTCCATTTGGCACGATCCTGACACACCTCTCTCGCTTCCTCCACATCCATATACCTACGCATACACGCTCGTCGGTTAAAGGTACTCTTGATTTGGCCCATTTTTAATATATCACCAATTTGGTCGATATATTTTCGCCTAGGGCGACCCTTCCCGACTATGCCGTTCACCTCTGCAACATAAATTTGCTTTATCACTCTTTCCTCATTCATTCTTTCTACATGGCCAAACCACCGAAGCATTCCTTTCTTAATCCTGGTCACAACATCATCTTGCAAACCACACTCTTCTCTTATTAAACAATTTCTCACTCTGTCATTCAGCTTCAACCCTATCCTATATTAACGAACAACTATCTTAGTCAGCTTCAGTCAGTCAGGGTTGAAGCTGACTAAGATAATAGTAACATTTTATTTAAATTTGTCATAAAAAATGTAATTTATAAGGGTAGATAAAAGGAAGGTGGTGCGGTAGTGCAAATATGGTTTTCGGTATATGCAACTTTTTTTTTCTAGTTTGGCCAACCAATGGGTTCGGCCAGCGTCAAGTATTTCATAAAAGTCACATAGTGTATTCAACTAGTTTCCGTTTCCGTAGATACGCTTACTTAAATAACTTTATGTTACGAAGTAACATAGGTATTTATTTTGGAATAATTAACATATAATAGTTTTACAAAATTATTGCTAATATAATAAAATGGATATAAGTAAGTTGCAAAAGCACTATAGTTTAATGTTATTAATGGATATGAAGTCTAAATAAAGTTTGCACAAAAGGAGTATAAACTAAATTTAACAGACTTAAGATTTATAGGACGGGCAATGTTATTAGGAAGAAAATTGTATAATGAAACGGAACGGTTGAGATATGCATCTTTCATAATTGGCAATACTTGCCGCCAATGTCAAATTTAGACAACTGTCAAATGTCAACGTCAACTAATCAACTCTCATTGAAATTGTTAATAGTTCCATACAATAACATTTTAGATTTAAAAAAATAAGGTAATTGTAAAAAAACATGGCCTCTGCAATGGACATTGATGAAGAAGAAGTCGAAATGGCTTCTTCCAGCAGTGGCAAAGGAGATAAGAAGAGATTTGAAGTAAAAAAGGTAATGTCATCCTTTTGCTCAATCATTGTTACCTTCTTTGTTCCTTAGCATATTATGTTTTCGATGTATGCATAATAATAATTTAACTAAATAATTTTAATTTACAGTGGAACGCTGTAGCATTATGGGCTTGGGGTGAGTATAAATAAGACAATTTGAACTAACCTATAACATAATTTAGTCTAATATTAATCAAAGAACTGGATTTTTATTAAAGTAGCAGTATAGTACAAATTAATGATGTATTTTTTTTTCCATTTTCAGATATTGTTGTAGATAACTGTGCTATCTGTCGTAACCACATAATGGACCTTTGCATAGAATGCCAAGCAAATCAAGCATCTGCCACTAGTGAGGAATGCACAGTAGCATGGGGTGTTTGTAATGTAAGCATAGTATTTTCATTAGATATAATCTAAGCTTATAAGAATAAGGCCTGGATTGCCATAGGTTAAACCTAGCAGACATATCCAAAGGGCCAGTGTCAGATACATCCTATAGGATAATATATAAAATCAGTAATATTTTTCTTACTGGAGTGATGAGTTTTCACTAATTTCACTTGGCCAAAAAAGGAGGAGGTTCTCAATTCCAACTGTATTTTTTTGATTATGTTTTGTGATACAAATGTGATGCTTTGTGGCATTTCTTGAGAGAGGCCTATGTTCAACAGTGGACTTGTGAAGTGCTGTAATGATGATGATGACAGAGTTTAAAGAGCTAACAGTTGTGAAACGCCGACGTTGACGTCAGGTGATGTAGCTGCCCGCATAGGTATTTACTGTTTACGCCATCATTGCAAATATGCTAGGGGTTGTCACGAAATCGAGAATGAAATAATTTTGGACTCCTTATCATTTATTAACATTAGTACATACTTAAATTTAAGTTAAAAACACTTGTTAAACAAGACCATTATTTATTACAACAAGAAAAAATACATTTTACAAGTGTTGCACTGCCAAATATTTTCGTGACATTTGCTTTTTATAGATGTTTTCAGTTTTCGATTTTTAAATTTAGTTATGTATTTATTGTATTCCATCATTTGAATTCAACTTTACTTAGTAACCCATATAACTATTACAGTAAATCACCATTATAGGTTTATATTTTTTAAATGGCATTAAAAAATGTGTGTGTGTGTATGTGTACTTATGTACGCACGTAGAAAGTTAAACATATACTTCTTTAGTGCAACAAAATAAAAAAAAACTTGAAAAACAATTGCCCACAGAAGTTGTCCTTTTTAGGTGTCAGTGTGCATGTGCATCGTAACAATTGGTAAAACTATAGACATCCGGTACTAGCCTACGGGAGTAGGAGAGAAAGGGGAGGGTTCAGGGGAAGCCCTGGGTACCCTTCCCCTGTTGCGGAAATGTATAGTTTATGAGTAATAATTTTTTTTGTAAAATCATAACCTAACTTTTTTACACAGGAATATTGACTCACAGTTACTTCTGCAACGGCTTCGGCGCTGCGGGAAGTGCAGCCCCCGCCCGCTGTAGCAAATCACAGGCATCCATGCTCACCTCCACAGCTTCGTCTCACACAGGTGCCTGCGACCTGCTACAGCGGGCGGGGGCTGCTCTCCCTCCGCACCTACGGCTTTACAAAAACACTAGGGGTAGATCATACAAGACTATGTGGAGTTGGGGCGTTCTGATTCAGTTTTAGTACAGATTCAACCTATCTTATCTTCTTATCTATAAAGTCAGGTTGCCCTAAACTCTGCTATGATAGTGGTAAATGAGACAATGTAATGTGAATTGTTATAATTTTGTTTTCTGAAAAACTTCTTTGACTGCTCTACACTGTGAGTCAATTCGTTGTGTATGAGTCCCATCTTCGACACAAATGGATTATCTGGGTCCAAGTAATTAACTTCTTTATAGGTGACCCGTTTCGTTATATGCAATTTTTAGCTATTGAAATTTATTTTTATCGTAATTCATTCAAAACACATTACCGTGATTCAAAAACAGTATAAAAGGTTCTAGCTTAACCCTGACAAACCTAAAATGAAAACATAATTAAAATCCTACTCCATGTTACTTCATAATACTTGACCAAATTGATATATTTGCGTTTCGTTATATGCAATTTTTAGTGAAATTTATTTTTATCGTAATTCAAAACGCATTTCCGAGATCCAAAAACAGTGTAAAAGGTTCAATCTTAACCCTAACAAGCCTCCTAAACTGAAAACATAATTAAAATCAAGTACGGGGTGTCTATAGCCAACCCTAACAATTTCATGGGGTTGTTTTAGGTGTCGGTGTGCACACATATAAATCGTAAATAATTACTCATCATTTTTCGCAATCACCCTAAAAAAAGTATAACTTCAATTAGTTAAATAAGTTTTATAAAACATGCTCTGCCCCGCAAGGCCCCCGCCATTGCTCTGCACAAGTACATTTGTTTCCCTACAGTTAGACTCTCTTTAAACTGTGATGATGATGATAATGTTTTACAATATCCTAGGCAACTTAAAGGATTTCTTTAACCAATTTTAATGATTTCTTTTTATTGAATATGCAACATTTTATGTTTGTATAGGTGGTACCATTTAACTTTGACGAAAATATTCACCCATAAGGATGGAAATATGGGGGATGAGATTTCATATTCCTCCTGTTAAGTAGTTTTTGATTTTCACTCACTTCAAGTAAAAGTAATTTAAAACTAAAAAATATATTTTTCACATAATTGATACTAAGGCAAAGTGTCTTGAAAAATTAAAGCCCCGACTTCAGAAGTTATAAAATGATTATGATAAAATAACTTTATTCTTTTTAATAATCGGAAGTCAGTTTTTTGTTTTTTAAAGATTTAGCATTTTTTGTTATAAGTTATATATATGTTAAAGTTAAGGTTTAAGCATTTTAATATAATTTATTAAAAATTTATCCATATTTTGTTTTAACATAATTAAACATTTACTATGTTAATATGTAAACATAAAAATTTTATATTTGATAAAATATTTGATTAACTGGCTGATCAGCTACAGCATCTGGCTGCTGGTCCAGGTTTTGAATCGCAATTTGGAGATTTCACTAACTGTGCAAAAACATATTTTGGTTTCAGTTGTGTTTTTGTTGCCTCCATGTCTATGTTACTGCTTCTTAGCTTATCTCCAATAATTGAGTATTTGAGTAGTTTAGGATAATCATTTGCCTCCGTGTTATTAGTGCATATTATACATGAAGCACTATAATATCTCTTACATAGCTGATAAGTTTCTTTGCAATAGCATCAAATTAATATTATGTACTTATTTTACTTTTCAGCATGCTTTCCATTTCCATTGTATTTCACGTTGGCTGAAAACTCGACAAGTTTGTCCACTAGACAATAGAGAATGGGAGTTCCAAAAGTAAGTTTAGTTCCTATTACTTGCATTTTTATGAGAATATATTATTAAGCATACTATTCTAGTCACAACCCGGGATATTGGACTAGCTTGCAAGGTTGTATGCATTAGCTTAGTGAAAAATAGAATTATAATAATATTTTGCTTAATGATATAGCAGTTCCTACCTGATATTATGTTAAAATATAATTATCATGTATTTATTTAATACATCATAATTAGGCCCATCTAGGAGAACTGAGAAAAAAGTGATTCGCCTCTATGCTGAATGATATGGTATATATTTTCTTATACGGGGCGCCTATATGCGTGAATATTCTGACAATGTTTGATAAAATCTAGTTTTTAGTAGAGGATGGCTATATGGATCATGTGAGGATACCGCACAATATCCTTTGAGGCGACAACAGTCCTGTACTCACTTTCAATATTTGGACATGGAAGCGAAAGTATATTACCGAATTTTTGGCTCTAGTGGCTCCGGGCAGAAGAAACCTATATACTATGATACTCTTATTATAATATGGAAAGGTGGTTTTAATTTTTAATACAACCACTTCCAAAATAGTCTTCATAAATTTTTTCGAAGTCCACTGCTAAACATATACTCCCCCCCCCCTCCGCTCCCACCCTCTCCCCAAAGGATTTTTGCCTTATAGAGGTGATACCAACCATAATTGCCAGGCTTGGCAGGCAGGTTGGCAACTGTAGTCCTTCATTATTTTGAGTTGTTATTTTCTTTTCCCTCTGCCGAATCTAACAACACCCATGGGATGATATTGTTAATGTTATGATAGTGGATTATCGAATACGCCGCCACTACACGGCTAGAATATATAGTCTTCATTTAAATGAACTATAAACTGGTTTTTTTTTCAGGTATGGCCATTAAAAGTTGCATGTCATGCAGCTTCATCTCTCACATAAAGTGGTTTCCTGTGTGATTATTGGGCGAATGTGTTACTTTTGCATTAAGTTTTTAATAAACCAACTGCAAGTACTAAATTTTTGTTATTGATCCCGTGAATATAATTTCTATTGTAAAATGTAAAAATTAAAATCACATAAAAACAGTAACAGTTCAGATTGATTTCACACCTTTGACCGTTGCATAAAGATATAACTTATATCATGATAACTGTCAGGTTTCATTTCCTCTATCTCCCAAAAGGCTAGCAAGCCTAAAACTTTGTTGTTAAAGTCAAAGAAAAATGTAGTAAAACCAGAGTAGCTACCTTATTTGTGCATCCCATCTCAGCCCACAAAATTTACAATAAATAGTACTGCATAAAGCAAAATGTTTTTATATTCATCATCATCATCATCATTACAGCCCTTCACAACTCCACTGCTGAACATAGGCCTCCCCCAAGGAATGCCACAAAGCATTGAGTCCTGAGCCACTTGCAAGTTTTACGTGGTAGAGCCATGCTGCAGCTATATAGTGGTTGCAGCACGAATGGGTCGGTTTGACCAGGGTAGAACCACGTTCTCACAGAATACCAGCGTAAAATAGCAGCTTAATGCTGCTGTGTTTCGTATGGTGAGTGTAGAGAACCGGAGACCCTTTTTACTGGAAACAAGGCATTTCATCTCAGTCCTAAGGAGTGACAACGCATCTGCATTTTGATTCTTTATTGAAGATAGATGTAGATGTCTATGGGCCACAGCATCCACTTACCATTACGTGGACTGTGCTAGTTCGTCACCCTCATTCTATAAAAAAAGGACTTCTTTTGTAACTGGGAGTCCGTCTGGGCATGCAGTTCTTGTACTGTTGTGTTCTGATCTGAAGAGTTTAGAGAGACTATAACTACAGGATATTAGGTATTCCATCTTAGTCCTCAGAGGTGACAACGCATCTGTAGCCTTTTTCTTTAAAATTGGCTGACAAAAATAGCCATTTAGCATCAGGTGGACAAAAGTTAATACGATGCTTGAATTTAAAAAAAAATTATAACTAGGAATCTGTTTTAGTGTACACTTATGCTTGCTGGTAAGTAGCTGAACTCCCATAACATTTTTTCGCTAACGGCTGTTTTAAAAGCTACTAGCGATCCGCCCCGGTTTGATATCTGAATCTCGAGACCAGCGCCACCTCCCGGGTCTAAATGAGAATCTAAACCATCTAGAGACCTATTGAAACACACAAAATATTTCATCATAACCGGTCGAGCCGTTTTTTAGTTTTAGCGAAACTAAGGAATAGCAATTGATTTTTATACATAGAGATAGGCTCAGGTGGCCTACTGCAATCTACGGTTACTTCGAAGCTCCTTGAGGACTTCACAATATGACGTAGTGAGGGAGTATGTTACATTATACGATCCGTCTATGTATTGATTCATTTATTTGATAGCACTTAAAAATTTACGTTGGTCATACACATTAAATTAGATTTGATTACATTACGACGGGCTATTTTCCGCAACTCACGTCTAAACGCGTATTTTGCGTGTGGAGAGGAATTTTGTGATTATTCGAGCCATTAAATCTACCCAAAGAAGTTCAACGGTTCTTTGATGTTGCGAGCCACTCGTGGAGTGATCCCGGTGTGCCGAGATGTTTAGCGCTGTATCCAGCGACCTCCGGTCATGCCAGCAACACGTGGGCCGCCATTTCTTCCTTCCACATGGGACTATCTGTAACACCTATGGTAAATTAATGTTTGTCAAAAGTGCCGTGTCCTGTGATAACACTTGTTACTATCCTGATCTGTGACTTGTTCAATCTCATTAAAACTTTGGTTAAATGACTGTTCATTTCTGACAGGGCGTCCCTAGCTTACCTACAGTCTACTAGATTTTTACGTTACAGTGAACGAACGTTACCAAAATTGATCGGTATGATTGGTTCCGGCCGATCCTCTCCTGGCCCGTTCGTCTGCTGCATCGTTGCCCCTGGATCCACTGTGTCCCTTGATCCATTGCCGAGTCACATTGTTGTGTTTACATACCTCATTTAGTCGTTAATAGCATTAATATATCAGTCCCGAGCTCACCACGGTGCAACTCAGAACTTGTAGTACCGCCATGCTGTCGGTCAGTATTCTGATGGAGAAGTCTTTTACCTTCCTGAAATCTATTGTAATTGCAGCTTGAATGATACCCATACATTCTGCCTGAAAGACTGTTGTGAGTACCCAGCGGTGTGCATTTTTGGACAGTTCTTCCGAGAAAGTTCCAGATCCTGTACCTTCATTACTTTTGGAGCCATCCGTGAGAAGAAAGAAGTTCTAAGTTCTTTTAGGTTTAATCCCTCCGGCTGGCTAGTTTCGTTTAATTGTATCTTACAATTCATTATACACAAATTGTTTATGGATTTTATCGTCATCATCATCATCATTACAGCCCTTCACAAGTCCACTGCTGAACATAGGCCTCCCCCAAAGAATGCCACAAAGCACGGTCCTGAGCTACCTGCATCCATCGACTTCCTGCATATCTTACCAGGTCGTCACTCCATCTAGTGGGGGGACGCCCTACACTTCGCCTGCCGGTACGAGGCTGCCACTCGAGAACCTTTCTTCCCCATCGGTTGTCGGTTCTTCGAGCTATATGGCCGGCCCATTGCCACTTCAGCTTACTAATCCGTTGGGCTATGTCGGTCACTCTGGTTCTACTGCGGATATCCTCATTTCTGAGTTTATCACGCAGAGAAACTCCGAGCATAGCCCTCTCCATAGCTCGCTGAGCGACCTTGAGCTTCCTCATCCGGCCAGCAGTGAAGGACCACGTCTCAGTTCCGTATGTCATCACTGGCAACACGCACTGGGTGTACAGTCTCGTTTTCAATTTTTGAGGTATACCTGACGAGAAGATGTGCCGTAATTTCCCGAACGCTGCCCAACCGAGTTGAATCCGTCGATTGACCTCTCGGTCGAAGTTGGACTTACCTAGTCGGACTACTTGTCCCAGGTAAACATACTCGTCAACAACTTCGAGCTTAGTGTTCCCAACAACTACCGGCATAGGTGTGACATGGACATTAAACATGATCTTTGTTTTGTCCATGTTCATCTTAAGACCTATCCGTTGGGAAACACTATTGAGGTCATTGAGCATAGTGCTTAGGTCCTCCAGCGATTCTGCCATAAGGACTATATCGTCGGCAAATCGAAGGTGAGTGATGTACTCGCCATTGATGTTGATACCGTATCCTTTCCAGTCCGGAAGCTTGAAAACATCTTCCAATGCAGCGGTAAAGAGTTTCGGGGATATGACGTCACCCTGTCTTACACCTCTCTGCAATTGGATAGGTTTCGTACTCTGGTTCTATACTCGGATAGCCATCGTAGCCCTACTGTACAAGCACTTCAACACTTCGATATACCGATAGTCAACTTGGCATCGCTGAAGGGACTGCAGCACCGCCCAAATTTCGACGGAATCAAAGGCTTTCTCATAGTCCACATACGCCAGACATAGTGGCAAATTGTACTCCTCGGACTTCTGTACAATTTGCCGAAGGGTATGTATGTGGTTTATGGTGCTAAAGCCTTTTCGGAAACCGGCTTGTTCGGGAGGCTGGAAGTCGTCAAGTCTACGCGCGAGACGATTCGTAATGACTCTCGAAAACAGCACGTAGACGCGGCTCAGAAGGGAAATCGGTCTGTAGTTCTTCAAGAGAGCGTTGTCGCCTTTCTTGAAGAACAAGACCACCGCACTTCTGCTCCACGCCTCCGGTGTAACGCCACCATGGAGGACGGAATTAAAGAGCTTCTGAAGGACTTCAAGTACCGGTTTTCCACCCGCTTTCAGAAGCTCCGCTGTATAATTTTATCGTACTTAGTTGAAAAGATAGGAATTTTTGTGCAAATTCTATCAATTATACATGCATGAGGGACTACTCTTACTCCATAGATTTAAGGTTACTTAAGTCTAATGGCAGCTAAAGTCGCTTCTTTTTGTATGTGTAGGTGAAGCGGGGTTAGTTCCAGCATAACCTGTTAGGCTGCTGTTGGTAGCCATACATGCCAGTCTCTGGTATCGGTGAAGCTTCTTAATAGTGGTGCCTTCGTTTGTTTTAGTCCACCATACCAGAGCGCCGATTTGTATTGCCACAGCAAAATTTTTGGCGTCAAACCCCATCGTTTGCCAATAACGTTTCTGCATTGCCAGAAAGTTATACTAGCCTTGTTGATTTTGTTTTCTATGTGTTTTTTACCTCAGAAGATAGCTGAAGTTTTGTGCTGAAAAACTGGGGAGGTGATAGCTATTCAGAATTTGTTTTTGTGTGAACGTTACTAGAACCATTTTATTTGGGTTAACGGTTAAGTCATATTCCCTACACCATCTCTCCACTATAGCCGCACTAGACTAGACACTAGACACTAGAGCCGCTTGGGTCAAGTCGCACACTATGCTTGCTGTCTCTTTCCAGAGACTAGTAGTCTCAGGTCATCTGCATAACCTGCTATGTAGAAGTGATTGGCATTTAATTTGCTAATGAGTTTCATTTATAAAACAGGAGAGGTGAAAAAACGCCATCCTGCGGGCAGCCTTTTTTAATCTGGATTGTTTGAGATTCACCAGCAATCTTTATTTGTTCGTGTATAAATATCTATGAAGGATCCTAGACATATTTCTTTATTTTGGATAGCCTCTTCAATCCTTGTTATTACCTGGTGAAATGCCGATTCTGTCGATTTGTCTAAGTTGTAGACATGTTGCTTTCATGTTACGGTAAGTTCATTAGCACCGACACCCTTAATTCCCTTTCAGACATCCTCTCTCCATCGTCTTTAAGAGAAGGGATGTGTGGCTAATGGGTCTATAAGATTTTGGGTTCGTATAGTCGCTCTTACCTGGTTTGGTTATGAACGTAATTTCACTTCCCTCCATTCCTTAGGCACATATATGAAAACCAGACATGTTCTCATTATGGCAACAA